CTATTTGAAATATACTATGTTCTTTGCAATAAAGATTTGTACTTTTGTATTTATTGAAGTAACTCAAAAACTGGACCGTTTTAAAATATTCTTTAACCTTTAAAAAGCTATGGCATCAGTGAGTAACGTAGGCTATATTTTTGAAGTCGCAAGCAATATCTAGTTTATAATATATTAAACATTATGCGATAAATCAGATTACGATGTCTGTTAGCCTTAGAAGGTTTTGCAAGATAACAGTAATTAATTATATTTGCTACGATTGCTGTACTTCGCGATCAAGGAAAGAGACCGCCAGCCTTGTTCCTTAAGAGGCTTAAGTACATTCTCGTTATTAGTGCGATGACTTCCGTGATATTGTGACAAGTCTTTGTTGAGCTAGACACGTAGCTCATCGTAGCATTATTACAAAGTGTATTTCTTTCATGTCGGGTCCAGAGTTCGAATTATTTATCTACTAGCTTTCGCCCGCGACTCCGTCCGCGTGGAATTTAAAAAAAAACTGAGTAGCTTATGCGTTCTTTCAGATTATCCTCTAGGTTTATACAAAGTTTCATCGAGATTCGTTCAGCTGTTTAGGCTACAAACCCTAACAAATATCTATCCAACCCTCCATCCATCCATCCATCTAAACTTTCGCATTTATAATATTTGTAAGATTATTAATCCATTTCATTTGAAAATTCAATACGATCTGAGAGATCGGAAATGTCTTTGCTTAACTATACTTTTGCCTTGAAATAATCGAATGTCTTTGATACAAAATATCTATCGTTATTACTTTATTGATTTTCAAGTTATTAAGTTACTATGTGGAATATTTTAGCGATATCTTTTGCAAAATCTTTATTCCAAGAGTGTATATACCTAGCGCAGAATTTCATAGAAAAATATTACCTTTTGTGATATAAGAAGCTTAATAGAAGACGGTATTAAAGTTACAAGTTGCAGAGTCTTTTGATACATAATGAAAGGATTACGGGAATTCAGTACAAAGGGTCCTTTAAGATAGATAGATAAATAAAATATTTAGAACATATATTTTTAAAACGCATTATGCATTGAAGTGTTTCGAATTACGTCACTAAGTTGGAAATCTTACAATTCTGATTTATAATTTTTTTTAATTAAATACTAGTCCGATGTAAAAATAGTTAAAAAAATGTAGTATTATTTAGCGTGACATTAACTTTAATAATAATTTACGTTATTTCCTTGAGCGTTTCAATAATCCGCATTCACTTATATAATTGTTTGTTTTGCAGTTTCTCTACTACTATCGATCCATTGCCCTTGAGAGTTGGCATACGATCTTATTAACGACTTATGTTTTTGATTCAAAATTTTACAATAACCGATGAATATTTTTCATTACAATAGGTGATGGACGAAACCTAGAAGGGTCCGAATTCAACTGTCTTCCTTCTTCAACATCCATAGATCTAGACATACGTCGCTTTCAAGTGCTCTTAACACCGCCTTGCTTGAGTACATCATCATAACTCAATTGATAACATAATTTACCATTGTTCTTCTTCCAATTTAAGATGTTTTCGAAGCAATATTAAGTAAATCATTCCCCGTCATACCTACGCTTATGAAGAGTTTCTGTAAAAATAACTTGTGTACAAAACCCGTAAGAATGTTAAGCTCTTCGAAGCCTGGTGTGTTATGGTAATAGACAGGTAATCTTATTACTCGTCTTACAGCCCGCTTGTAGACTGCAACTCTACCTTTATTACAACATACATCTTAAAGGCCATTCATCCCATTAAAATCTATATCTTCTATACATAAAATAAAATTGGAGTGTCTGTAACATCAAAAGAAAAATTCCAGATTTCGGGAAGATGATGTATTAGCGTTGCTGATAGTGAAAATCGCATTTAAAAATGTTATGTCTGTCTGTCCACAAGCCGCATTTGTTCCGGGTAATCTCTGAAACGGTTGGGCTGACTTCGACCAGACCATCACTGAAGGGTAGCTGACATACACGGGCATGTTATAATACTTTTTTATCTAAACATTGCGTGGACGAAGTCGCGGGCAACAGCCAGTTAGAAATAGAACTTACGCTTCAGTTGTATTTAAAGGCATTTATGACAGTTTCTGGCAAATGAGACTATTTATCGTGTCTGCCTCTATACTAAATGCATTTGAGGGTATCCTACGTGAGACTAATGTTTTACAACACTTTTGTTTATCAACTCAGTAATTCGACCATTATTTAACTTAATTGTAAATTTAAGTTCGATTTCTCGAATCTTGACTTGAAATATTCGTAAAATGTGAAAATAACGCGGATATCGACCGACTCTTGAGACGATCTTCACAATTTGTGGATTCAAAACTCTCGCACCAAGTGTCGTTTTAGTCGCTGTTTTTTAATGGACTCTCTTTGAAATTATATTGAAATCTTTCAATAGAAAAGGGGCGTTAAAGCGTTGGCGTCGTTACAGCATTGCACTCTGACCTTTGGATGTACGCCAAACTGATCTGCTACTCTTGACGTTGGCATTCAGCCTTTTGTACAATTGTAACTATGTTATTTACTATCCTTTTACGTAATACTTATGAATGAACTAATACCGATCACATTCATTTATGCACATGTTTAAGAACACAGTAGAACCTCGATAACTCAAACCTCGGTAGCTTAAAAACCTCTATAACTTCAAAAAATAATATGTGCCCTTCCCATCAGAGCCCAAAGCCTCTATAAATTAAAATATTTTGTGTTTCCCTTGGAGTTTAACTTATCGAGGTTCTGCTGTATATGTAAGGTACTTATAAATATCGTTGTTTTATCAGCTGGATCTTTTGAAAGCTTAAATCGGTCCCCTACCGCTGTCCTCATTTAGTGCACTCCTGTAACACCACAATACAGCTTCAATGACAATGAACAAAACCAATACAAATAAAATACCTCCTGCTATGAAACCGGTTTTTTATTTTGTGACCTATAAATTAATATTAACATATTTCTATAAAAAAATAGAGTATAGCCCTATTCAGCCTCCTGCTGATTGATGGCAATAAGATGATTGTATAGTTTTCTATGAGTTGGTGTATTTTTAATGTTTTTTTTAGTTAGTTTGCTTATTATTAATTTGCTTAATTTGTCTATCTTGTGTTGATGTTATTTGATCGTTATAAAAAGGAAACTTAAACTTGGTACTTCCAAAACACACGAATATAGACAATAGAACGATTTCCTTTGAATATATCGTGAGAAATGTAATTCTACTTGTTTAAACAAGTATCAATTTAACTGTGAGTTTTCACACTAAAGTCTTGTACGAAAATATTAATATCCCTCGTATTCTTCTTGAAAAAAATAAGATACTAATGTTTTTCGATACAAGTGCAACGGCAATGTCAGTCAATAAGTCTTCCTTCCGTCAATTTTTTTTAGTCTATATTCTGTTGTAGATACTTGTTTACTGTCCACCATTGTATAACGTTATTTTATTCAGTACGAAGCCATTTCATCATAAATTGGATTTCGTTTATATTTAGTAACGTTACGAGAAAAACAAGAGTGTTGTTATGCAAAATTGTAAGACTAAACTCTGCTTGTTTGTTTTTTTAGTACCAGAAAGCAAACAAGAAAATAGTGACTTTAAAAGGTATAAGTTCAGTAACATTAGCTAGAACATAAATGTCACATATATACATATATACGATGCAACACCACATCTAAAAAAAGGAGTTTTAAATATGGATGGCAAACGAAGAAACAATAAGACGAAGGAAAGCATAGTGATGTAAACTGAACGATATCTGCAAAATTACTTATCCAATCCGCATTGTGCCTGCTTGATCGATTTAGGCTTTGTAAGTCTTAGGGTATGCTTGAGCTCCTTCGTAATGAGCTATTCGACAAACTATTCACACACTATGTTGTGTACCTCGCCTTACGTCACTTTACACAACAAAGGTTGCAGTTGTTAAGCTTCACATGCACGGTGCATCCACTTGATATTATCCAATTTCTTTCGCATTGTTGCCGTATTGAGCGTAATGCGCGTTTATTGCGTGAACTACACGGGTAAAGAGCGACCATATGTCGTCCGGTTTAGCATCGCCATGGCTGTGAACCAATCACGAATGATCAATAAACTCACGTCATGATACAAAATTTGAATATTTTGTAGCATATTTTATTCATGTAAACCACCGCTTCGGATGTAAGAATACATTTTATCCATCAAGCTTAGAAAAATTCCATTTGCTTTGTAATCAAAATAAAAAATATGGTAGAGTTCTGGCATCAGAAACAAAACGATGCGGAGTGGGACCTTGAAAATATATAAAAAGCTTTGTTTTGGCAACAGTTGTTTATCTCTGTCGTGGATTCCACACGTTGTATCTATTCGTTTCATTACATCACATCGCTACAACAATCCACCGTGGTTATTCTCACGGAAGTTTAACCTTTCTCATAGTCTTTTGTACAGCCAGTCGGGTTTTTGTGTTGTTAATTAAAAAAAAAGGACGAAGTCTCGTTATCATCGTATTGTATGTAAATTGTACACGTACGTTTGTCTTTATTGGTTTCTAATGACCTGAATATCAAGTGTTCTAACGCATTGTATAGGCATGCATATATCGTAATTCTTTTTAATACAAAGACAAGATTCAATGTTTTAAGGTCTTTTTAATCGGAATTCAGGAGTCATTATAGCTTAGTTACTATAATTTGGAGGCTATGGCTCCATCTGTGATCCTCAATTGCTAAGCAACGCTATTCTATTCTGCTTCAGTCACACCCGTCAATCTATAATTAATTGACTCACTTAAGTGGTTACGTATTGATCCCACTAGGAGAGTCGCTTCCGACTTCCTTTATCGACCTAGTCCTAGGCGCCTGTAGTGGTGCAGACGGCGCCTAAAGAGCGTCGCCGTCACTCCCGGTCCCAGGCCATGACAGCTGTAGCGACTCATTAAATTACCATTAAGTGTATGAGTGCGTCAATAACATAGATGTATACTTCCAGGTACAACGGTTACTTGCCGGCGGGCGAGCGTGGTCGACGGCGTAGCAAGTTTGTGCTGTACCGACGGCCGGCTGCTAACGGTGTGCGACGCTCCAAGCACTATGTGGTAAAGACGCCGCACAGCAGTAAGGCCATCCTCGACGCCAGCCAGCACTCCATCTCGTATACGCTTAGCCGTAGCCAAGCTGTCATCGTCGAGTACACAGAAGACCCCGACACTGATATGTTTCAAGTAAGTTATAATTTGTTACCTTTGTGGTCGAAATACTGGTCCATAATATCGACCTATTTGATTGTCATCACTACTGAAACAATTTTATGTTCTTATAATAGATTCTTGTCGAATTTGACTTGAATGATTTATTAAAAGGATGAACATAGAATTGGTATTCCTATATACATTAAAAAAAGGTTAATAAATTGAATACTTTAAAGTGCATTTTTATAAATTCACGTGAAACGATCCGGCGAAACCCACATCCGCTCAGTCCCCTTCGGGTAACATCCGTTGGAGGAATTGCAACACTTTCTTAAAGTACTAATCTTTAAAAGCGAAAAACGTTTTACTTATACAATCAAATGTGTGGATATCTATGAAAAGCAAATGAATTGTTTTAGTACAATACGCTACGCATATCGGATTTCCCTAGCTTAGTGTAATTAACATTTCCTGTATTTAAAGCCCGCACGACAAAGGCCATTGTAAACGGAACAGTTTTACTATACGCCTTCTATACTCACTTTCAATGATACTTTAATTCCGATAAAAAAATAATCATATAGTTCATAATTAAGCATGATATATTAAAAATCATGTTACAATAGTAAAGAAGAATTAAATTCATTCTTCGAAGGCAATGTATCTATATCGTAACTTTTTATTTGTCTGCTGAATTGATGACAATATTAAATGACATGGACTGCTCTAATATTTGTATTGAAATATTGTTGTTTGTAATTTTTCAAATAGAGTTAAAGTGAGGAAATATGTTATAAGTTGTAGAGGAAACTTTATATAGAGAAGGAAAACATGCGGAAGATAACTGAATTTATTGCGATTAATACACGACAAAGTTTTTTTTAAAAAACTTGTTATATTTAAAGCGTTGTGAAAACAATTGCTTGAGCAATTTCATCATCTCATATTTGTCATCACACAATGCTTGCGGTGCAAACACTCGTTGTTAACAAGTCTCGCCCGATAAGCGGTCCCAAGACGCCCTCGACAACACTGCTTTCGAAACAACCACATAAAACATTGTTGTGATAACGAAAACATTTCACAAGCGCACGTGTGCACTTTCAAACCAAGTGATAATGTTTTGTTCTTTAACTATACATGTTTTTATCTAAATTAGGTCAACTAAAGTTTTAGTTTACTTAAAAACTTCAAGTTACAAAGTGATACAACTATCACTTGATAGTGATGATACTGCTATCATTTACAATGTAAACACTCGGAAGCTTGTCACTTCGTGACAAAGGGAATGTCTGTTGTGTTTTTTGTTATTGTATATCCGCTCACAATAGTTACTATTATACTATTTTAAAGCATTTTTTATTTATTGAGAATAGATACATCTGAGTTTTCTACCCGATTATATTTGTATTAGGTACTTTGCACAATTTTATTTTTATTTATTCTGTTGTTGCAAATTGCAAACAAACAATGCGACGAGTTAATTTACTCTCAAGTCGTTTGGTGCGTGTTTACGCGGCGGCGGTATCTAATCGGCGCACATGGGTTACTGCCCCCCGGGGCGAGGACAATGCGTTGGTCCCGCCAGCCGCACGCCGCACAACGACCCTTATCAATAACATCTTAGTCCCTGTTTCCACTGAACGATTTGCCACACGACTACGACCAGTGGAGAAAAACGAGATTAATTAAAATAGCGACGAAGTGCGAAAGCTCCGTGGATGTCAGATCTAAAGCCCACTACACATCTTCAATTCTAACTGCACAGTTCATTTAAACTGAAGGTGTGTAGCTGGCTTCAATGGAAATTGAAATATTTGCAACAATTAGAATAAAATGTTTGAGCATGAACATTGCAAATGATGGCATGTCTTGTTACTTAGTATAATCATGTTTGTTGCAGTTAGAATTCAGTACATTTACTTAGTCCCCAAATGTTTGCTGCTGGATGGTCGTTCAATTGACCGTAAAGTTTGCAGCACGGGTCGACGAACTATCGCATCCTGTCAGTCGGATCCGATATTGTTGTAAACATTGCTTGAAAACGTCTGATGTTTGTTTTTTTTTGTACTTTATGCCAGCTGTGGATTTAAAAACTTACCAGACCATCACTTTTTTTCTAACTAAATTGGTTTCAAGTGATAATCGCAACTATTCAGACGCTAAAACAATGTGCTCCAAATTCTATTAACGAACTAAGTTAATAATAGTTAGAATATCTGGACCGAAATATTCTAGATAGCATTCCATCCAGTCCAATTATTTAATCGAGAGTTACGTTAAATTCTTCGCTAAATAGACTAAGCACCTTTCTACTCCAGTCTGTTTGTACTTTATTATGCCAAATAGTTACTCAGACTCAAAAGGATACTTAAACAGTTCCTTAGTATGAAAAAACTACACTAACTGACTTGCTAGCGCCCAATAACTTTTAATTCTGCAATAAATTCTACAGTTAGTATGTACGCAGGTGGTCTTTCAGTATTTGTATGTGGAACACAGCTATAAAGGTACACATATGGGCCCGTAAAACGGAGAATACAAGTTTTTACTGGCCGACGGATGCCGATGTGCGGCAGCTGGTGTGTTCCGCAGCTAACTGTTTGAATGGATCTCGCTACAGATTATGTAATGCAAAGTTTACATGATATGGCGCCATAACTCGGAAGTAGCTTTACCGTGTATTTCAGTTCTATAGTTAAAACTGAATGTGTGTTGCTGGTTTTAGATACGCGATAGTAATAAATTAGTTTAAAACGTACGGACACCTGAAAACTATCGCATAACTATTTTGAATCGCTTTGATTCCTATTAGCTGACATAGCGCACACTACTCAATTTGTAGTTTGACTAAACAGTTGAATTGGCATTAATAAAATCGACAATCGCACAACTGTTGTACGATAGTTTAGTCAAAGACGCGCACTAAATGTTTCCGGAAAAACTAATTGACTATCTAACGCAACAGTGATAGTACAGGTTAAAAATATTAAGATTAAAATAAAATGATAAAATTTTTTATCGTTCAACATTAAAAGCCTTAGTAAGTTTCACTTCCATAGATTTTAGTAAATCGCAGACTTGAATGATTGCTACTTTCTCTACACTTTGAAATTGCAATTTATGATTTCCGTAACGTAATCGCTGTTTTACGATGTTTTAACTTTAATGTCTGTTCATCTTTCATTTTATCTACGTCTTGTTGGATTCTCCTTTTGTTGTATTAACGTAATTTTACAAAAGTTTTATAAATTCCTTCACATAAATATATTTTTGTGCTCTCAGGTTTTTAAACAGTAAGAAAGAAAACATCATGTTTATATATTCATGTTTTTGGCAATGTAAACTCACGGTAAATAACACAGGGACATGCGAGTAAGTAGGTAGTTCGCGTGCATCTTAGAAACATGTTCAGACTTGCTTCCGACGTGCACTTGAGTTTACATTATCTGTAGACACATAGATATACAAAGTGTAGTTGGCGGTCACTTCACATGCGTACCTGCGTGACATATAGGGTTGCCAACTCTAAGTTAACACTTAGCACGAATGGAACATGCAACGATGCAAACTCGAAGTGGTATCCCTAGTGATATTTCTGACGTAACACTTAGGCGATTGAAACTAGTTTAAACGCCTTAAATCCAGGTTTTGTTTAAAATGATTCTTATGATTTTGTTTAAAGAATACACGATTGTCTACTTGATAGCTATAACAACGCAATGAGAAGCTTTGTAGTTAGAGATGATCATATTTTATAGCCGAGACACACCTCCCAAATTAATTATCCGAAATACTTATTGAGCTACCGCGCTCTATCTTTCGGCCGCGTCTTCACTCAGGTTAGGTGGAGTCGTGGTCAAGCGCTGGTTTATTTATGTTAAAAAAATGCATCACTTTAGCTAAATGTTAGCTTACATTTAATACTTGCACTTGCTAAGTGTTTAAAATGAACGGATGGATAGAATAAATAAATTGTAAGTAGTTATTGACGCTTTCGTATGTAAACAAATGGAAATATGATAAGAATTTATTGTTTTGACGCTCGCTCGCAGAATTTACCTATAGTCGAATTCAATGGAAATGGGAACTAATAACAAACCTAAGTAAAAAAAAATACCTTTATACGACTACAATTAAATTAATAATTTGGTTAAATCATACTTCACACTAACTAACTTGTAAAATGTACCTGAAAGGAAAGGTTTTGGCTTCTTAAGCACAGGATATCCTTGTTAAAGAGCCAATACGATATTGATGCTGTAATCACTGATTATTCAATGAATAAAATTTGTTAAAACTAACATTATACATAGGAAAGGTTTAATGGATGGATGAATACATACACTAAAAATACATACCTCCTAAAAGACTTGGCTCATATTTAGAACATATTGTGGGAGAAACCATAGGCTATTTACTTTTTTTTTTTTCTGCGCGGACGAGGTCTCAGAAAAGAGAATTGAGTGGGATATACATACGGTTTTAGGAGTAATGTAAAGATATGGGTAATAAAATATTCGTTCCGTTGTTTATGCAAATACAGAGATATAAAAAACACCAACATAAAATGGCATATTTTTGGCAAATTTCCAAGGCCATAGAAACTGTTCCACTTATAGTGAATATGTAAATATTACAAATTGCAAATGGAATATTATTTACATAAAATTGATAGTAATTAAGGCTTAAGAAAAACACTATAATACAGAATGTTTCGAATTGAGTATTTTGGACAATTGGTTTTTAAAAAGTATTCAAGTTACATACTTCCTGTCACGATCTAAGTCCGTTACTGAGGCGGATGCGCCGGCGTGCATATTGCGCCGTTATTGAAGCCTCTGACGTCACACGCTGCGGCCCGCATGTCAACAAGGGTGTGTGACGTCATTTATAGCTAGGGTTATCACACATAACTTTGTACACATCCGTATTCATCTGAGACATTTTCATATAAGGAACATCTGACCTTTTAATTGAAATAACATGTTACAAAGCATGGTAATCCACACAATATTTAACATATTATAATT